AATTTATGTCGTTAAAATCTAATTCCAGTTCAAACAGAATAGCCAACTGTCAACATAATTATAAAATATTATTTTCAACTCGAAATATATTCCAAATAACGAAATATAAAGTTATTAGTGAGTAAAACCCGCCTGGATAACAGCAGACCGACTGCTGGTAAAATATACGACAGGTCTGGACCACTCGTGAATTTTGTTCGTATCTGAAAAAAATCTTAGAATACGAAAACATTGGTGAATGACACAAATTCTCCTAAATCACTCGTACACACAACTTAAGAACAAATCTGTGCGTACGAACGGTTCTTGCATGAGGCCCAATGTATCTGTGGAACTGTACAAAAGCAAATAACACCCCAGTGGCTATTATTTCATTAGAACTAATGGTTAAAAATAAGCTTAGTTAGTACTAAAAAAGGATGAAATTTGCTTTCACCTGGACTCAGGTGTGATGCTGATCAGTCTGTTTACAGAGTACTGAAGATAGATTTCTGCACAGACAGAAACATAGGCTAAGCAAAACAACATAAAGCAAATGGGATCTTTTCTTTGAAGGAGACTTTTTCTAGCTGGCAATTTTGGAGGTTTTTAAAAAAATGCTGATTTGGAAAAAGGGGGAAAAAGGGGGGAAATGAGGTTAAGGTTCAGACAGAAATGCCCTTGCACCTTCATTCTTTCATTTTGCTGCAGGTTTTCATCCTCCACTCAAACTAATGCTGAAGGATCAGAAACTTCCAAAATACAACAGAAAAAAACAAAGATACATAAAAAACAGTTTGAGTTATGTTATTTGAAATATTTAGAATTCTGCCACATTGTGAGCTCTGATTCAACTATTTAAAAGAGTTTAATAAATGACTTAAAGAAGTTTATAAAAAACTGGAAAACATTTCTATGAAAAACACAATAATAATAAATCATTCTGGAAATTACTGATCAGTTAAACAGACAAATAGAAAATTGGAATGGTCATATTTTTAGCTGAGAAAAAGAGAGACAAATATTTTTCTGTCGTTGGGATAGAATATACTGGACAAAATACTGTTATAGCATCATGTCTTTTCTTTCTGAATTGATATGTTAGAAAAAAACTACAGATTAGAATTTGTGGTTATTAGAAAAGTTAAATAATAATAATCTGTGTATGGTTCATCCTTTGGTTTTTCCATTTCATAACAAAGTTGCAAAAAGAAAACAACTACTGGTATATTGTTTTTGTTTATTTTTTCGTTTTCATACTTAAATAGGTAAAAACAAACTACATAATTTAAAAATTCACAGTGTTTCATTTTTTTTGCTTCAGCTATCTATCTATCTATCTATCTATCTATCTATCTATCTATCTATCTATCTATCTATCTATC